AATAATATCCACATGCTGTCTTTTTTCCATTTGATTCTTATGTAACCAAACTAACTTCAAAATTGAAATTGAAACAAAAATGTCGATTATTGTTGACCTCGAGTAGCGTGCTGACGTGTAATTACAGAGGAAAATAAAAAAGGGTCAAGCAGCGGCGTTCTTTACAATATTTCTTCAGGCATGTACATATTAAAATTAGAGTAGTTGCAAAGGTGTAGTCATGTTGAGTGAACTCAATGGTAGTAGGTATTATCTTTGGTTGTTGTAATATTTGACAAACCACCATACGTATTGGAAAATATTATACAAATCATATATTCACTATAATCATAGTGTAAGAATACACTATGCTATAATATACGCATTTAAAGTGTGTTTAATAGTTTTGAAATAAATAGGTAAAATGATTTCAATATATTATTGTTAATTATACGTAAGTATTAGTTTGTCGCTTTCCAAGTGATATTTAATATTAAATAGGACGGTACGTACCGCAAACTGTAAATGCAAGGCCCCCGCCTTTCGATTATGATGACGTGGGTCCGAACCCCCCTGAGCGTGCTTTTTTTTCTATAATAGATCGCGGCAAAAATAACTATACATTTTTTATTATTTTTTTAAATTTAATTTGTAATTTTAAGTTAATTATGTAGGTATTTAAAAATTTCGCGCCACCCTTATGAAGTACTTGCGGCACCACGACACCCACTTGAGAACCACTAGTTTATGTAGACAGGAAAAATATAAATTTTTGTCACTCCAAAATGTTAGATGACTATTTCGAAACAATATATTTAAATAAACAAAACTTTATTTCTTATAAAATAATACAACAGTATTCATTATTCTGGACTCATTTGATCATCTAAAACAAGCTTATAAAGCTCAATTTACATTATACTTTTTTCGTCTAGAAACTTTGACTAGAACTTGTGCTAGATTAGACACTATACTAGAAATTTAAATTTGCCGCTTTTTGATGCAGACTTTTTGTTTCAATGACAGTGCTGCCAATTTCGGAAAACAAATCTCAATATTGTACATTTTGAGGTTAATTTAAATTGCTAGGAAACAAACATGAATAACAAGCAAAAGAAACTCATTTTTGCTATGTACATGTACCTAATTCAAGAGACTTATATTTGAGGTTATGTTCAAGAGTATGAAAATAAAGTTGTTGGTAGCACGGAATTTGTTCTAATTTGGTGCTAGTGCGCAAGTCACAAGTATGAAAGTTGGATGGAAAATGGGTCTGGACCTAGTTTCAGATCTAGTTTCTAGATTAGAAACTTGGACGGAATTTTCTGATTTACATTGTCAAAATTTTAACAAGTTCATCTAGTACAAGTTCTAGTCAAAGTTTCTAGACGAAAAAAGTATAATGTAAATTGAGCTTTAGGGTTTTTTTGGTTTTATTTTTGCATGGCCAACTTTTCTTTTGACAATCTGATGACATCAAACGGTAGAAAAACGGACCTTTCTTGGTTGATGACCCGCTTCCGGTGTTAGTGGACAACCAGCTAGACTAGTGGAAAACAGACCAGCCTGGCCCCACATTTTAAAATACTTAAATACAAAAACAATTTTTATCTAAGAGTCTAGATTTAAAGCAATAACTCTGAACGGTTCTGATTACAATTTACATTTTTTATGTGCTACATTTTAGTTGAATTTTGTCCATGGTTGATTTTTTTAAATCATAATTTTTTAATACTTTGTAATTAAACATCACTTACTGATTCTTCAATACTCTTTCTTACTTAAATATGTTACTATTCAACAGTTTAACAAAAAAAAATCATGTTAACAAAATGTTACTAAACATATACCATTAGAGGAAAATTGTCTTATTACATATCATTATGATACTATGAAAATTCGTGTTAAAGCTAAAGAAAAATTTAAAAAAAAATTAATTTAAATCATTGCGATCATGTTTTGTCTCGAAGAACTGTGCGTCATTACTGCACATAAAACAAGCACCTTTTAGTTTTTAATTCATTAGTATTACAAGAATGTTTGTGGCAATAAAATTAAAAAAATGCAGTTCGAAATTAAACAATAGTTTGAAATACATTTAGAAATCCTATGGAGACATTGAAGCTGTACCATATCTATAAGTTGCTAATGGAATTTATCATGCCTACTAATTACTCAGTCATGACATAATAGTTATGTTTGTGCTTTGTATATGATAGTGTGTCAACACATTATAACCAGAATAAAATCAAAGAAATAAAGTAAAATTGGAATAGTTCAATTAAATGGCATTATGACATTTTATATCACAAGTTATTATTTAATAAATACTATAGCAAAAGTGTTCATCTCCAATGCGTATGAACAATTAAGGCTACTTTTTGGCTAATTCGTTTGCAACCTGTCTTTGAGTACAGATTATCCGGTGACGGTCCCCATTCAACAAACTCCAAAATAGACCTGATAATAATGCATTATTTTAATAAGGATAATTAAAAATGTTAAATACTTACAGTACATCGTCTTCTGACGGACGATTTACCCCTCTCATTCGAAACTGATCTATTATACATGCTCTTACATGTTCCATTTCTAGTGGTAGGAATGGCACATAATGATCTATTAAATTACTTTTGATAGTGTCAGAATGATGGAAACCACCTGAAAGAACCCAAAGAAGTTTAATCCCAATGTTGAGGGTGTAGTAGCAATAATAAAAAGGAGAGCCCTTAAAGAAAGGTTCAATCTACTAAGAGCTTGAGTTAAGGTTAATAGGCTTAGAATTGTGTTTTGAGATTTGACTTAAAATTATTTAAAGGTATTAATCTATTAATTACAAAAAAAGTGTAATACCATGTTCATTAAAGGCTCCTTTGATAATCAAATTTTCAAAATCTTGCAACTGAATATCTTTCCTGGGAATTCCACTGTGATGCAGTTTTATCATTTGATCAGTTATTAACGACTCCCCGGTGTTCGATAAGAATATAAATATCGATTTTCGATAATCCACCTTAGCGACATATGCGTTATAATCAATTAGAGGTTTAATTATATTTAAAAGGTATTCTGGTGCTTTATCTACTTCATCAAATACAAAAAGTTGTTTCGGACATTTTGTCACGTTAGATTTAATCCATTCGTATAAATCTCTCTGCAAATAATCTTATTAGTGAAATGAATTTGCTGAACGGAGATGCAGTAAACCCTTACTTGGTATTGTGCAACTTTCGATTCTTCTGGAAAGTTAATTCGACTGACAAAATGATGGACATGGTCACTAGCACCACCCAAAGTAAATAAAGCCTCCTTTATAAACCCTGTTACATAATTTTTTCCACCACCCGGCCAACCATGAAAACTGAGAGTCAATGCTTTCGAAGGCTGATACCTTTCATCCCAATGTGACTTTAAAGCTTTAACGATTATCTCTTCGGCTAAATGTTGCCCATACACTTTAGACTTTAACAGTGCTTCTAATTCTAAAATTTAAAGTGAAGTAACATATTTAAGAAATGAACATGTTATACTGTACGGTTAACATTTCCTGGAATTTCTTTGTCCGTACAACATTCTTTCCACTTACAATAGGTTTTATCGTAGAGATAGGAACCTATTCCTACTACAGCTGCCGAACCGATAGAAAATGGATCGAAACAAAAAATCACAGTACATTGTAAAATTATGAGTAAAAAAATTATAAATTCGTTTACATGCATCCTAGCGTTTATTAGGAGATTATGCAAATTACACAAATTTGCACAAAAATAAATAAAATAGATTCTTACAATTTTACAAATTGTTAGGTTAAGAGAGTGTGGACGCCACTGACCTTGATTTTTTAGATCAGTGGTGGACGCGCAGTCATTAAACACTGTACAGGGTGCTCGGTAGTTTGAAGAACAGATCGAATGAGCCCAATCTTTTCAATTTGGTAGAGTAGCCTTGGTTTAAACACTGACCACTCAAAAATAAAGACAAAATTTAAAAAATATTACGACTAATTACAATTTTAAGCAACTGCGTTCTTGGATATAGTTTAATATTGTACTTAGTCGTTGCCTCGTTCACTTCTGCCACAGATGTAATTTCGTAATCTGTGCTTCTGCGCACTGCTCACCCACAGCGGGATGCCAGCATTCACAATTGCAATTACTGGACAAGTATACGTTTTTTTCTTATTTGTTTGGTTATTTAGGGGTTGCCGAGAAGCGATTTAAACATGAACAAGCTGATAATGCAATTTCTTCCGGCATTAAATATAGGCATAGTGCCCACTGCGATACAGAGATATCATGTCAGGCGCGAGTTAATAGTCTTTTTAGTAGTTTTGTCTAAACTTTGCAGCCACTGAACTTGAAATTATAAATTGCATCTTGCGGGATCCTGACGGTGGCATTGCGCAACCTAGGGATCGTATCTTTTTGGACAACCTCAAGGCGTGCAGCCTCCCACAATGGCGCGGGAGGTTGTTCACGCGCAAGAGTCTTTCCACTCCCTGAAGGTGCCGAGGGTTCCAATTGTGGAGGCTTTTCCACATGGTTAGCTGAGTTAGTTTACCTAGTGGTTCGTAGGTTTTAGCAGTGTTTTAGTAATGGTTATTTGGAGTTGCCTTCCGGGATGGATCCGCTGCTGTTAATGGTGAGAGTAGAATTGTCCGATCTCGGCTTCTTTTTATCAACATTTGGGTGCTTTCCTAATTACCTGGTGTTGGTTTTGGAGACCTTCCTCTAGATGGAGGTTGCCGGTTGCGCCGCTACAATAGATGTGGTACGTTTAGAGGGCGGAGTTGGGCCAGTTGAGCCATCCTGGTTTTGCATTACATTGGACGAAACTTATAGCAATGAGACATTTAATCTAGATTTTGGTCGTGTATTTTGTAGATTATTCGATTTATTCCGAATTCCGGCTATTATACATTTTTTTAAAACACCCTATGGATAAATTGTTTCCATTACGTCGATGACGCATGTCTAGAGTGTGACATAATAGTCTTCGTCATTGTTCGTTGCAGCTTCGACTACACAATCGGTTCATGCAGTTAGTTTTATGACACGAAGCGACCGATATATTTACTTTACGAACCATTTTAACAACTACAAATAAGTAAAGCAATTTAACATTAATAATCTGAACTTCTATTTGCCGGTAGTGTATGTAAAAAGCGTATAAAGAAGGTAAGCAAATTATGTTTGTGCCCTGTAAAAATCAAACGTTTTCCATCCTGTGTATTCCTCCTACTCTCCCAGCTATAATTTCAACCACACCCCGATAGAAAATTGTTACCAATAATTTCACGTTCTTTAATCACTGTTATTAAGCAAATTGTTTGTAAAGCGAAAAGCTGTTATTTTCAAAGTCTATTTTTGATTATTCCCTTTCATGGTAATGTAAAATTTGAATAATAAAATTGTTACGGCCTTGGTTAATTTCCTCTGAAAAATTAAGGCTGGTATGTGCAGTAATTCGGTTTCTTTCAGTAAATATTCTCTTTCATTAGTCCGAATAAAATTTGTAGCATTGCGGTTTACAACCAATACAGCATACCACCTTACTAATCAATATAGGATTGGCAAACTACATCAATATCTGTTCTGCTCGACTGTGGTACATTCACGCTAGAATTATGTCATCGCTCATTATGAGAAATGATACGGATGGAGTAGGTATAAATACCTAATTGATATAAATTTATCTATCTCATTATTTACTTTTTAAATTTTCCATTTTATTGAAAAAAATGAAGTATTTACAGTTGCCCTTTCAGGAAAGTGTATACTTTGCACCTCGTTTTAATCACAAATTATTTCATTATAACTTAATGATAAGGTTTGAAGTAGGTACAGGGTCATCATGCGATGGATGACTCCTCTGTGTGGAGTTATGACTTTGTCAAATTTAATTCCGAAATAAATTTTTAGAATAAATATGAAATCTGCCTGAATAATTTTGACATTAGGAAACAAGAAAATACCCTTGTGAAACAGTTAGGCTGTTGTATGTATGTTATAATGTCATAATTGTGCTTATTAATTAATTTATAGGTACGAGAAATAATTATTTTTACAACTGAAGAAGAAAGTGGAGTGACAAACACTTTCAAGTTTTCCATATACATAATTTTTTCTGAAACTACAATCAAAATTGAAAAATTATCGTATGGAATAATGAAGTTTCATACATAGAAATCTAGATACGGGTATGTTTCACTTGTAAATTATTAAGATTAACGCCGCAATATTGTTTTTCTTTCCTCACTATAGGTAATAGAGAGGAAAATCACATTTTTCTGAAACTACTTTAGAAAGAACTACTTTCGTCTCTAAAAAGATTTTCCTCTTTAGTGAGGAAAGGAAAAAAACAATTGCTGCCCTAATAATGACATTTAAAATTGAAACATACCCGTATCTAGATTGCTATATGTCAAACACGAGGTCAAACATTATTGCAGACGATAATTTTTCAGTTTTCATTGTAGTTTCAGAAAAAATACTTTCTTCTCTAGTTCTAAAAATAACTATTTCTTCACCCTTTTTAGAGACGAAAGTAGTTGTTTCTAAGTACTTTCAGAAAAAATAAATTTTTAACAAAAAAGACTGTGTACTGCCTCGTGTACTGCTGTAGGTTGCACTTTCTATTGTACCAATTATCTCAAAAGAGATTTTTTGTTCGAAAATAACTATTGTTAATCATCATGAAACTTACTATGAGACCACATTATTAAGGTTAAGTTTGGGCATGCACACTTGATGTATGGTATTTGTTTCCTAAAAATATTTCTCAGCAAAAAAAATGGAAAGGTGTCATGAAACATTTTTGCGAATAAATCTTGGTGGAAAAATAAATAAATAATTATTTTTTTAATGTCTTCTCGTTGACCAAACTAAATGCCGCAGGTGATGGGAAATCGTCACGCCGCACGGTGGAACGACACTGTGTTAAATGTTGGACATTTAGCAAAAAATGAAATTCATTTTTCTGCGAAAAAAATTATAGTGATACATTCGCAAATAATTACTCCGTTTTAAAATAAAAGTTTTTTAAAAAATCCTTGTTTCTAAAATTATTACACAGAGGCGAAAGTAAAAGTTCCTAAATTGTTACAGTTCAAGAAAAAAATAATCTTTATTTAGTGGGTCAAAACTCTACCCGTGAAAGTACCACATCGTCTGGTCTGATTCTTAATTTTTTAGAAGCTAAAAACGAATTCTGGTGGTAAGATTCGACCTTTGGTGAGAAATTTATAACATACACGTCTCACGTTAGCGGTTCGCACCTCCTTGAAAAGAGCAAACTGACACACCTTTGTCCAATGGACTCATCCTCATCCCGCCTTCATTTTTTATTTCTGATCCACAAAGTACATTAAAAATAAAAAGACCCGTGTGTCCTCAATTTTTATTTGCGAGTAAAATAAACCCAAAATAAATTATTGAAAAGCTGTGTTTTTAGTCCGAATTTGAAACGCTTCAGACTAAATACGTCACAAACCTACAACCAATCACGTAGAAGTGAGCTGGCAACCTTACGCGAGGGTCTGACGTTTGTCACATTTGACGTTTTGAGAGGGATGTTTAACCACAGCCGTCTATAATTACAAGCCATGCTGAGAAGTTTGGCAACGTTGTCCGAAAGTCAATCGGTGGGCCGATGTAAGTTTTAATGGCGTCTTGTTGCTCTTGAAAAATTGCATTTTTCCTGTCTCCTGTGTTTCCCCTTGGTGGTTTTAATACAGAAGAAAGATACTTAGACAGCTTACAATTGTACATATATTTTATTCATTTACAAAAATGGATAATAACATTTTTATTTGACTTTAAATTTCGAAACGCTGTAAATCGGTAACTGCATCATAATGTGTTTTCCATCGAGCTCTCCGAAATTGGTGAACTTCTGACGAAAGAGGTCCAGGTGAAGCACACGTTTGGGCACTTAATTTCGGCAAAAGGATAGTAAATCGCTGTGTATCAGAGAGGTTTTATCAACGACCAGGTGCAATTCGGAATGGCAGATTTTAAGCCAGTCGCTACTCCATTGGGTCTAGGTAGGAAGCTTTTAAAGTGGGGAGCCCCGTAGACGTCAAATTCCCGTACCGTGAACTCCTGGGAATAAGTCGAAAGGTTCCTTCAGAAAATCAACTTGACATGTCCGTGCTAGAATGCCTGAAATACAAACTAATTGTGTTTTTTCACAATAAACACTTACCGTACTTACGTACCACGTACTGTGTAGGTCATATTTGAGCTTGTACAGGTACTTCGAACAAATACAAGTGCTTGTAAAGGGTCCAGTAAGGAGTAGCCTGCTTTACAGATTATGACAACAAATCGATATATTTCGTTTAGCAACTTACCTGAATAATAATTTCTGTTCATTCCGTACGGAGTAACACAAATTGTCGCAATCTCGCTCTATTAAAACAGGTAAATAGGAATATTACACCCAAAACACATAAAATACACCTGAAATCTGTCAAGTTGAATTAGGAAATCGGCCTACCATGCAGTGTTGCCATAATTCTCAGCACGGCTTGTAATTATAGACGGCTGTGGTTTAACTGCATCTAGCACGAAAGTGACAAGTGCCTGTGACAGATGACGCAAGTTATAAATGCCATTCTCCTGCAATATTGCCAAGTCGTTATGTCATCTGAATGGTTCTAGGAGCTGATTGGTCGGGCTTATTACGTCACAGAGCCCGCCACAATCATATCGTTTTAAATAAACCTTTAAAACCGCACATGTTCATTATTTTTTTGCTAATCAGCCTCTATTTTTAAATAAACTCTTACTGTCCAAAAAAATGTTTTATGGTTTCAGGTACACGCTTATTAAATTAGAACTGCGAAATTCAACTACACTGTAAACCCCCATTGTAATTTTTTAATATTTGTTACGATTCGTCAACGGCGACAAGTGAAGATTAAACCATTAAAAAAGAGCGCCGCCTGGCATATGTACATTCAAAATCTACGCTACCTGTATCTAGCAAAGAAGAAGGAGGAGCTTAGAGAAATTCTCATAATACCATGAGTAGTCGAAGTATTGTCGAATATTTTTGAGGTGCTGTCACGAATGTTAGTTACGCGATGCTTTTCTTGCCGTGCGTTTTCAATTTGCTTTTATAAATCGTCTTCAGGTAAACAAGGTCTACAAGTAAGACAATTAGATCTACGCATAATCAATCCAGTTTTTGACGTGTGCATTCATTTTCCATTTATAAGCAGCGCACATAGTAAAAATTATGTGTGGGCATGCGCAGTGATGTGTGGGCATACTGCGCAATGCCAAATTTCTTATTTATGGAGATATTTCTTTGAAATTGTAACCACAGGTGCTTCTAGTAAAGGCAAACATTTCGCACATGGTAAAAATTATGTGGGCATGCGCAGTGACTGCACAGACTGCTCATAGCCAACTTTGTTATGTATGGTAATATTTCTTTGAAACTTTATTTTACTTATTTAACTCCTCTCTTTCTCTGGACGTGGACGTGCTTCAATATGCAGATTCGACATTTTGTGTGCTTTCGATGACTGCATCGTTTCAATACTTTGTGTTACGCGGCAATACCTACGAGTGGGTTTTGAAACATTTTTTTCTCTGACCCTTGTAGCTGTGGTAGGTTTATATTTATACAATCACGAGTACAATCATTACTATTACTAGTTTATTAAGAAATAGCCAATAGAATCAACAGTTTATTGTGCTTCTCTAACCATACCTTTATTTCTTGTGACTATTTCTTAATAACCTAATGATTGTGCATGCCCGCCATTAGCCTTGCCATTAGCTTTACTGTATGAACTTGCACGAATTATTTACGAGATGTTGTACTAATTGCGAGACTAATTGTACCGCGAACTTTAATCTTGTTTTCTTTAATTGGTAATACAGTTAGCTGGCGTCCAAAAGCAAATTGTAAATTTGGTATATAGCACACACAAGAATCCAACCACTTTGCCTAGTAAAGTAGATACAAGGGCTACAAGCAAATGGGTCTCTGATCAGAGCGTGGACGTTTTGTATGTTTGTGGCGAATTGAGGTATTACACCAGTCTTGGCTAAAGTCCAGTGTAAGGGATGTGCTCAAGTGGTACGCAAGCTATGAGGAGGCATATGAGGTGTGAAAAAATAGTACCTATATTGTTTGCCTAGTTGGTTTTAACAGGATGGTGCACCCGCGCATAACCAACAACACCTTGTATTTTAGGTGTTGTTGGCACAACGCCCTAATTGGACAAATTTAACTTCGAAAATGGCAAATTTGTCCAATAGGTACCTATTCTCGCGCTGTATGCGGTTGTGTGCGGGTGCACCATCTTGTTGAAACCAACAGTTTCCAGTTTTTCTTTTATATTTCGTTTGTTCTCTTATGATTTAGGTGTTTTATAATGGAAACACCATATTCAGTTGTAACTTAAATTAATTAAAAATGCTTTTTTTTAACGATGTACTATTTGCTAAAGAGTGTTTCACAACGAATTGGATAGATTATTATCTACGAAACAAATACAAACAAATTTGGGACAAGGAATACATTCAGGTTCTTGCCTTCACGGTTGGGTCCGCGTCGAGGTCCGCGTTCAGTGCAACGCCACCAATACAAGCCAAGCATATACGTGAACTCAAACGTGCACTTAGCACCCTTTTACACTTGTGCTCACTTTAGAGACAACATTTATACTTTTTTTGCTCTCTATATATAGTTTACATCATTTGTGTGCATCTGCACCATTGTTTTCCTTGGAAGCATCAGACTACCCTGAGCCGACTGCCAATATATTTCTGCTCGAACTGGCGGAAGACCAGATGCCAAATGTCAACGTTGCTGCCCTCTATCTACTCGGATCAACTGCCGAAATATGATCCCGCACTCCAGGCCAATTACCGAAATGGTTTCCCATGGCCCCCAGAATTTTTCCAGAGTCAAGTGCCCTAATACCTACTAAGGTTTTTACAAATCCGCGAAATGTAGTGTGAAACACCCTGTACAAATTGTATGTTTTTACATGTTATTGAAGGCGTTACTGTATTTAAGAAGATCCTCGATATTATGGGTCTATTTCGTTCGGCTTATAAAAGGCATTATTTTTTTGGGTAGTAGTATATTATATCGTTATGTGCAATGGCAAACGGTCACTAAACCTTCCGCAAGCACCCATCCAGTTAGCTCAATTAAGTACAGGTACTATCAAAACCTTTAAAAGAAATACTGACGCGCCACGACGAAAATCTCGATATAGACGTCAAGTTTATTAATTTGAGAAATTCAGCACCTGAATTAATCAGAAAACTAACCGTTTATTCGACAGAAAATAATCAAATAAACTGAAAAAAAGCAGGCACTCATGGCGGGAATAAAAATAGCATGCAACGGGCGATCGATAGAACAAATGAATTAAAGAAAGCTTAATTAGGTTAAGTATCAATAATTCAAAATCTCCGGTCGTAACTGCAACTCTTCTTTTTAAAAATCGGCAAACGAGGAGATTTTCAAACGTATTTGATCGTCGTTCGTTTTCTGTGACTTTAAAAGTAGTTGCAAAGACATTCACTGATGAAGATGAACAAGACCTGCTGTTGTATGCGAAAGAGTATTGGAGTATTCTTGTAGACTATTATATAAGTATTGACAATTTTCAATCAAGTGCACAAATTTGACAATTTCGAGACAATGACGAGAAACTCCGTGTGCAGATCGCATTGAAATTTTGAAAATTCGAAAAAAAAAATCCACTGCAATTCCTTGTGTACGTTCTTCAGTTAAGGTTTTTGTTTTATTACAGAAAGCGTCCATTTAATTACATAATATGGAACAAATTCCACCGCCGAAGGAGGTGAAAATCCTCGAGACTGCTGAGGATATTCAAGAACGTCGTCAGCAGGTGCTAACGAGATATGACAACTTTAAGGCCGACGCACGCGCCAAACGAGAGAAATTGGAAGACTCGCGCCGTTACCAGTATTTTCGTAGAGACGCCGATGAACTCGAATCTTGGATCTTAGAGAAGCTACAGGCGGCTTCTGATGAAAGTTACAAAGATCCTACCAATCTACAGGTACATGGGCAGATTGATTATGTCACATTACATTTTTTGTTTTAGGCAAAGATTCAGAAACATCAAGCTTTCGAAGCGGAAGTATCAGCGCATAGCAATGCGATCGTCGTTTTGGATAGAACTGGACAAGATATGATCAATCATAATCATTATCAATCGGAGACCATTCGTCGCAGATTAGGTATGCGTAGCGCATTTTTTCAAAATTTGTGTAATACATAGCTTTATAGAGGAACTTCATCGTCTCTGGGAACAACTGTTATCGAAACTGGCAGAGAAGGGCATGAAATTGCAACAAGCTTTGGTGCTTGTTCAGTTTTTACGTCACTGCGACGAAGTTATGTTTTGGATTAATGACAAAGGCAGCTTTTTGACTAGTGAAGAATTCGGTCACGATCTTGAGCATGTTGAAGTGTTGCAAAGGAAATTTGACGAGTTTCAAAAAGATATGGCATCCCAAGAGTACAGAGTAACCGAAGTTAATGAACTTGCTGATAAGTTATTGCTCGATGGACATCCTGATCGCGACACTATTGTCACTCGTAAAGAGGTATTTTCTCAATTTTTAAAGCTGTTTCTTCATGAACAATTTTTAGGAATTAAACAACGCCTGGCTGCGTTTAAAACAGATGGCGCTAATGCGTCAAGACAAGTTATATGGCGCTCATGAAATTCAACGCTTCAATCGTGATTCCGACGAGACAGTCACTTGGATTGCGGAAAAAGATGTTGTTTTATCATCTGACGATTACGGCAGGGATTTGGCGAGCGTTCAGACTTTACAGCGCAAACATGAAGGTGAGTTCTTTGTTTCTGTGAAAGTTGGCTGATTAATTCGCCAATAGGTGTCGAAAGAGATTTGGCCGCATTAGAGGATAAAGTATCCACTCTTGGGCAAGAAGCTGACCGTCTCTGTGGAATACATCCAGATCATGCCAATCAAATTCAAGCTAAACGCGCAGAAATTGAAGCTTATTGGGAGCGGCTTACAGCAAAAGCTAAGGTTGGTTCAATGTTTTTGTCACTCTTCCTAGGCTCAAATTTTATGAGAGTCACTGACTGGATATGAATGTCTCAAAGTGTTTGACTGCTAGGAGACGTTGCCCAAATTTCTTTTGTTATTACAGGTAATTGATTTTTTGAGAAACTTTCTTAAAGCAATTTTTAATACAGAATAAACTGGTGTGGTTTGTTTAGTATAAGTACTAATTTTTTGTTCGGTACATTTTTAGTTTTCTTATTATATAAAGATAAAACCACATTTCTGTGTATGAATAAGAAAATGGTGGTAACCAGCAAACAAGTGGAGAAGTTGTATTCAGGACATTCCACCAGTTAGTTGATTCAACACCATTTCAGGGGCAAGATTCTACCAGAAGAAGGCTTTCAGTATAGGATCTACACGGTGTCCATTTTTCGAGTGCCACTATGGGGATCTCACTTATCTTAAGAGATAGAAAGTTGGTTAAATGGGGGCAAAGTTGCCAATTTTCGTGCTGAATAAGAATCTGAAAAGACATTTCAAATATCTTCAATAGTTTTGAAGATATCTCAAAAAAACAAAAATTTCTGACTCGTCTCTCTCTCTCTCTCTCTCTTCCTTTCTTTCTTTCTTTCTCTCTTTCTTTCTTTCTCTACCTTCTCCTTTTCGTTTTTATTTTTTTTATGATAAACTAATCGTAGTAGACATTTCTAATTAACACATTATTCGGACACTTTTTAATGGAGATTTCAAATATGGCATCCTGTTTTTAATAACTCTCCAGATGACGGAGAAACACGTGGCAACTTTAGTTTTTCTTATGGGCGCCATTTTGAATTTTCACATTTTGAGATTACGTCTTTTTTTTCTCTTTACAACGATATATCACACATGGTGGTTCAGTATCACATTTTTCCTAAAAATACAATTTTTAATTTTTTGAGAAGAGTGCTTTGGAAAAACAAAACGTTCTTTTGTTGTTAACAAAAGGTTGACTTATTTCATGTAGTGTCATTTAGGTTTATGGTAGTTGTATTGCGAAAATGCCTTTTTCAGCGTTATCCAGAGGGGCAACAACCTAGTTTGAGGTATTTTTCTTTGCATTTTGGGTTCGATTAAACACAGTTAATTGACAAAGACAAAAATTTATTCCGCAGAAATTAAAACAGCAGTGCTGAAAGAAAGAAAAGCATTTAGAGCCTCTTTTTACACATACCACGCACGCACGCGGTCGACAGACGATTAAATAAAGAAATCTTAATTACTTACCGTTTTTCAGTAATCTACTAAATCGGGTTATAACAATTTTACGATATTCAGGCGCACTTAGAATTGACAAATACATGCGGACAGTTTCAGAAACTTCACTTCTTTTTTATTAAACTGGATGTTGATGACAAAAAAAATTAAAAAATAACTGACTTTTGGGATGGTAGAACACTTACTTTTGATGAGTGATAAACCCGGTGGAAAGGCTTCACTATACAACTGCTTCATGTACTCAACCTAGAACTGCTACTATTTTCGTTAACGGACGAAATACTTTAAAAACTTCTCACGAACGTTTACTGACTCACTTTATAATGTTATAACTTAAGTCACTCAATACGATTAATTACATCTCCAACTAAACGAAAATAGGACCGACTGCACAAAATAACCGCGTTACAAATATTACACACTCAAACCGTCACCAATAAAAATGTCCTGTTTAAACGTTGTTGTCGGTGTATAAAGGATCCGGCACCTGTCCCCACTTACGCCAAGAAACGCGCACATCTTCGTAAAAGACCTGTGTCTTATAAGAACGACTTGTGCCCCTAACAATAAAACTTCTTATCGTAAATGACAAATATTGGAATACAAATTCAAACAAAACGATCACACTGGGTTTATTTGTCAACCCACCAGATTTACTTCAAAAAATTGAAATATTTCAGATACAGGATGGTCCAACCTTTTTGAAGGTTTAAAACCAAACAAAATGACAGCATGATGTTGTTTACAGTACACAACATCAACAAAAATTTTATGGGTCATGGAAAACATGTACATTCTTATTTCCCAATATAAAAGACATGTTCGATCCATAAATTATAAGGTTCAGTTTCACCACATCCACTTATTCTGTATCAAAAACTAGTTTCAGAAAGTTTTTTAGGGTACAATACAAAGAGAAATTGTCTGAATTCAAGAAGCGTCCCCTAGCAGTCTTGATAGTGAAATTCTTTCGGCCTCAGTAAGAGATACATGAGTTTTCGTTTACTTTGCCTCACTGACTTATCATTTTCGGATTGTAGGAACGTCGTGAAAAATTAGACGAGTCATACTTCTTACATCGATTCTTAGCAGATTTTCGAGATTTAGTGTCATGGATTAACGACATGAAAGCGATCATATCCGCAGATGAGCTTTCCAAAGATGTAGCCGGTGCCGAAGCTTTGTTAGAGCGACATCAAGAGCATAAGGGAGAGATTGATGCTCGAGAAGACAGCTTTTCAGCAACAACCGAAGCTGGAAAGCAACTTTTGGAAAATGGCCACTATGCATCCGAAGAAATTAAAGACAAATTAACACAGTTAGCGTCTGACAAAAATTCATTATTGGGTATGTTACGTGTTACTCTTGTTGCAGTATATAAATGACTAATTTTGTAGCTTTATGGGAAGAAAGGCGTATTTTGTATGAACAGTGCATGGATTTGCAACTGTTTTATCGTGATACAGAGCAAGCTGATACATGGATGGCAAAACAAGAAGCATTTTTGGCTAATGAGGACTTGGGAGATTCTCTAGATTCCGTTGAAGATTTAATAAAGAAGCATGAAGATTTCGAAAAATCGTTAGCTGCTCAAGAGGAAAAGATTAAAGCGCTTGACGAATTCGCTACGAAATTAATTAATGGAGAGCACTATGCGGCTGATGATGTGGCCCAGAGACGTGCCATGGTACTTTTAGATTTACTTTCATCTAACATCTTATTCAATTTTTGTACAGCTTTTAGAACGACGTTCCGCTTTGAAAGAAAAAACGTTCTTGAGGAAGACCATTTTAGAAGACGCGTATAAATTACAACAATTTGAACGGGACTGTGACGAGACCAAAGGGTGGATAAATGAAAAATTAAAGTTTGCCACCGATGACAGTTATTTGGATCCTACTAACTTGGGTGGCAAAGTTCAAAAACATCAAAATTTTGAACAGGAATTGAACGCTAATAAAAATAGAATGGAAGAAATAACGTCAACTGGACAAGAACTAATCAACTCTGACCATTATGCCTCTTGTAAGTACTTTTTTGCTACATTGTTGCATTACAGTCTGTTGTAACGGTTTGCTCAATAATAAAATTGGAGTATAAACATAAAATAAAACACATCTAAATCTACAGTGTGTCCTATTTTGGTTGAGACTGCAGTGTATCTCGGCTGTTTTTAAAGATAGAGACTTGCGGTTTTCGTGACCCTGTGCCAATTCTTTGTGAAACTTTTAATACCACAAACAGAATCAATCTGGCTCTGTTTGTTTCAGAGATACAGTATGAAAACGAAAAGTTTGACTTTTTGGGGTGTTATCATATCTTACTACCCATGCAAGTTAGAAAAAATGTAAAAACGGTTTATTTTACATATTTTTACGTAAAATCCAGTGGCTTATTAAACAAAATTTTTGGACCACTATATCTGAGATTGGGCCCATGTTGGTATTTTTAATGCAACGTCCTATATATCTTAAAGTTTATATACATAATTATATATTATATCATATTTTTTAATGCTTTGTAATGGCATGTTTCTACAGTCAGCCATTTTTATTGATTGGTATCGGCTGCCATGGATACAATAAACAAAACAAAATCTCCATAAATCCATGGCCTACTATTTAAAAACCATAAAAAATAAGATTTTTAATTTTTTTCATGGCTAAAATAAAAAAAAAATAAGTTGTGAGACAGCAGTGACATCTGGAAAAATAATGTAAAAAATTTACGTTAAGATATACAAGGTGTTGCATTTAAAAAATACAAACTTTGAGTGAAATCTCAGGAACGGTGGACTGATAACATCCAAAAAAGTAAAATTTTTTGTTTTCACCCTGTATCTCCAAAACAAACGTAGCTAGATTGATTCTGTTTGTGGTATTAAAAAAAGGGGCACAGGATTATTTAATTAATTGTGAATCTTTTCTCTAATTTGGCCATTGTTGTATCTCCATGGTTTTGGAGATCCGCATGATAGACATTCTTATCTTGGACACAGTGTAGAGTGACGGGTAGAGTTCTGCTTGTGTGGGTCTAGCATCTCCTTACGATTTGTTGCAATAATAAATGAAATAAGTCGGTTGATAACGGGTCTCCCTGTCGAAGTCCCCATCTAACTCTGAAGTTCCATAAGTGAACCTCGTTACTTTGTTGTTCGTTGTTTGTATTTCTTCTTCCATTCTCTTCCTCTTCTTACTCTCTGCATATCTTTTTTGTTTCTTTTCTGCTGCCTTCATATCTTCTCTTGTTTTCTTAGGTATTCCTAGTCATCATTTCCATCCTGGATTTGTTTCTCCTTTCAATAGCTTTTCTGAATTCCCATCGAACCAGTCTGTGAGCTTTTTCTTCAGTTTAGTCATGCACTGTGATTTTTGTATACTTTTCCAGTTTGCTTCTATGTTCATTCTCAATTATGTTTTGCAGGTCCTCTTCCTACACCTTTCTATATTTTTCGATGAATTCTTCCTTTTTCAGTTTGGTCTTGTTCACACCGGATCACTCTTTTCCCTCATATCCTCATTTTTTCGATTGGTTTCAATTGTTCCATTTTTACTCGGACTAAAAAGTGGTCTGTATCAGCATCGGTCCCCCTATAGCTTCTTACTATTCTGATATATTGTGATTCCACCACCATGTGGCCATTGCGATTGGTGGTTCTCCCATCTCCTAACCTAACCGTCTTTTTAGGCTGGGGGAGGGGGGTGGGGAGAGTAATTAGTCGATTTTTCAACCCATCTGATTTGGAGTAAAATTTTTTGATAAGCTACGCTGATTTTCATATTTTAATTGGCATATCTCTTCCTTGGTGCGTTTTTGGTAGTCACCTGGGCCATTAACCTTCTAATCATTCCCGTTATTTCTTCGTACCCTCTGCTTTTACTTGGAGATTTTTTTGGCCCCCTACTCTACTTCCCTGATTCGCTCTCCTCGTCCGAATCTTCCCCTCTTTTTCTTTTACTCTCGTTCGTAGATGACTCTTCTGCTTTACTAGTTTTAGGGGTTCTTGGCAACTGCCTTTCAGCTTGCTATAGTAGTGCTCTTTTGTGACTAGAAAGGTCCTGCTCAAATTTGGGAATGAGTGCGGAAGTTTTACTCTACTGCATGGTGACATTCGGAAGGCAACCTAGAGGTAATTTTGTAGTGACTGAGTGCCTGCAGGGAGCCTTATGTCACTGGATATTTTGATAGTTTTGTTTTTTATGTTCTGCATAAGAACTTTGCTAAGCATCAGTCCTACCAGTTCTGCATGGAATATAGTAGGGAGTTTGCCTAGGCCCTATTGGTTGGGTCTTTGGAGTAAATACCAGTGCCTGTTCCTTCCATTGGGATTCCACTTTCGCATAAACCTCTGCTATTCAACAACCCCTTACTTTTCAGATGCAAGGATGCCAGTAGTGTCTGCTCTTTCACGTGGAGTTCTAGTGGAGGCAGATCCGGAAGTGCTTCCATGATGACTGTGGGGGTTGTCCGCATCGCCCAGGTGCAAGCAGGGTATCCTTGCCACTAGACCATTGTGGCATACATTACATTGTGACTGAACTGAGTCCAGATTCCAAAATAGTTAAGGGGAAGGGTCAATTACGGCGTATCTTTTCGCATGAACCATACAATACACTGTATAGAACGGCAGACGACAGTGTTTTCTTGCGTACCTTTAATTGTAATACACAGTGTCCATTTTTCGAGTGCCACTATGGGGATCTCACTTATCATAAGAGATAGAAAGTTGGTTAAATGGGGACAAAGTTGCAAATTTCCGTGCTGAATAAGAATCTGAAAGAAATTTAAAATATCTTCCATAGTTTTGAAGATATCGCAAAAAAACGAAAATCAGGATTTTCGTTTTTAATTTTTTTATGATAAACTAATCGTAGCATTTCTAATTAACACGTTATTCGGACACTTTTTAATGGACATTTCAAATATGGCATCCTGTTTTTAATTACTTTCAAGATGATGGAGAAACACGTGGCAACTTTAGTTTTTCTTAAGGGCGCCATATTGAATTTTGATATTTTGGGATTACGTCTTTTTGTCTCTTCACAACGATATATCACACATGGTGGTTCAGTATCACATTTTTCCTAAAAATACAATGTTTAATTTTTTGAGAAGATTGCTTTAGAAAAACAAAACATTATTTTGTTGTAAACAAAAGTTTGACAGTTTGATCCATCTGTCTGGTTGCAGCGTTGTCAGATAAGTAGAAATTCGATTTTCATCTGAACATAATTGAACCTTCGTTTTACAATAAAATTTATAATTAAAATTAGAACAAAATACATCACAACATGTGTTCAAATTGCCCAGCTCCTAATTCTGAGCACAGTGCCACTCTCTTCCTAAGATTTGCTATGGCTCTTGACACATCCCTTCTTCTACTCTTGTCAAATCCAAAGCACTCTTCTCAAAAAATTACAAATTGTATTTTTAGGAAAAAATGTGATACTGAACCACCATGTGTGATATATCGTTGTAAAGAGAAAATAAGACGTAATTTCAAAATGTGAAAATTCAAAATAGCGCCCATAAGAAAAACTAAAGTTTCCACGTGTTTCTCCGTGATCTTGAAAGTTATTAAAAACAGGATGTCATATTTAAAATCTCCATTAAAAAGTGTCCGAATAATGTGTTAATTAGAAATGTCTACTACGATTACTTTATCATAAAAAAATTAAAAACGAAAATCAGACATTTTCGTTTTTTTGCGATATCTTCAAAACTATTGAAGATATTTCAAATTTCTTTTCAGATTCTTATTCAGCACGAAAATTTGCAACTTTGCCCCCATTTAACCAACTTTCTATCTCTTAAGATAAGTGAGATCTCCATAGTGGCACTCGAAAAATGGACACCGTGTATAGTGAAAACAAAAGAGACACTGTTTACTTTCTTCTTGAACAGTTTGACTAATTGTACTTTATCTGTTTTACAAATACTACCATCTGGATAGTAGATGGATGTTGGTACGGCTTTGAGGAAACCATCATTAAGTGGAATGAACCAAGATGCATGAAAGGATTATTAAATTGTGACTTTTATGTTGATTTGATTTTGTATGCTACTTTGGCTATTACCAAATCATAAGTAACTTGCACCTATCTTTGATTACAGGATAAAATGCATGTAAGGCAACTAAATTTTCGCTACAAAAATGTTTATTATTCCTAAACGATTTAAGATGACATATGTGTTCACGAAGTCTTTTTTTTTTGTGAAAATTTACATGGTTTATTGTTTGCGCATAAAAGTTTTTATTGGTTCTTCATTTCGACAGCATTTACGAATGCACAGGGTGTCCCATTAATAATGGTCACAGGCCATATCTATGGAATCGTTAATTGCACCGCTTCGGGAAAAAAATTTTGTTAACAAAAGGGGCCAAGAGAAATTGCTGGAAATTATTTTGTGACGCTGGAGCATTCAGTTACTAAATACTACTACAAACATGCACATATTCAAAATGCTTATTATTCCTAAGCTGCTTAAAATAGGCTTTTTTTTAAACATTCTACAATTAATTTTCTATATAACTCAGTTTTCCCTGCGTTTTCAATCCAATGGCTGTGAGCGTGATGCGTAAACTTGCCGGCTCTCCATTGCATCGGCCATAAATTGGATTCACTCGATTATGGTGAAGAGAGTTTATACCCCTCTTTCTTATATTGTGCTGGGTACACTCTTTGGACACTGAGTTCTATACAGATGTGAAGATGTATAACTAGGGATTCTGGAGAGGGCGAGTGATCATTCTTTTCGTCCTTTTGTTGATACCTTTCACTAGAGGTGCATAAAGTGTAGAAGGACAAGGCTGGGAGACTATAAAATTTCCTTCCTGTTTCTGTTCAAAATGTTTTGGATGTTCCAAAAATACACATCTGTAAATTAAGCGCATCCCATTTGCTTTGGTTTTTCTCAATCTCTTAGTATTAGCGACTGTGAAATATGTCCTTAAACATAAGTTGTGCTTATGAAAATATTAAAAGTAGGTTTTTGCCAAAATATGTTACACCAGCAAACTTGAAATGTTACACATATTTTTGTATGCAATCGCAACGAATGTTGACAAGAAGATTCCAATACTTTGAGCAAATCAGTTACAATCAGGCTATAGTCGGCCATCAAACTGAGTACATAAAACACTCACAGTAAGATAATGAGTCAATAAGGTGACTCACTTAAGTAAGTTTGATTCAACTACAGGTCACAAATTATTGACAATTACTACCTTATGATTACAGCTCGAATTCAACAACGCATGGATGAAATTGTACATCTGTGGGAAACTTTAGTTCAAGCAACGGACAAGAAAGGATCTAAATTACAAGAAGCAAACCAACAACAGCAATTCAATAGAACCGTAGAGGATGTAGAGTTGTGGCTGTCAGAAATTGAGGGTCAACTAATGTCCGAAGACTACGGAAAGGTCTGTTGTCGAACAATTGTCGCGCTATCTTTGACCAAATTTTCAGGATTTAACCTCTGTGCAAAATCTGCAAAAGAAACATGCTTTGTTAGAGGCGGACGTGGGTTCCCATCAAGATCGTATCGAAGGTATAAAGGCGGCTGCTCAACAATTTATAGAACGAGGTCACTTTGACTCCGACAATATCGCCACTAAACAGTCAGGTTTAACTAATCGCTATTCTGCATTGCAAACCCCTATGGCAGTTCGCAAGCAAAGGCTTTTGGATTCCCTGCAGGTTCAGCAGCTTTTCAGAGATATTGAAGATGAGGAAGCATGGATTCGCGAAAAGGAACCCATTGCCGCCAGCACAAACAGAGGTACTGTGTAGTGTGTGCGAACATGACTGTGTTGACATATTATTTAAGGGCGGGATCTGATTGGCGTGCAAAATTTGATCAAAAAGCATCAAGCGGTCTTGGCAGAAATTAATAATCACGATAGTCGCATCGCTGCTGTCGTCGACGCGGGCAAACACATGATGGAAGATGAGCATTTTGCCAGTGACGAAATTCGTAATCGAGTAAACACTCTTCAGGATCATTGGATTCAACTTACTGATAAGGCTAAACAGGTTTGTAATTGCTGTATCTTCGCTATGACTAAAGTAGCAATGTAGAGGAAACAAGACCTTGAAGATTCTCTACAAGCTCATCAGTATTATGCCGATGCTAATGAGGCCGAGTCATGGATGAGGGAAAAGGAGCCGAGTGTGAGTAACACGGATTATGGAAAGGATGAGGATTCTTCAGAGGCTTTGCTTAAGAAACATGAAGCTTTACTAAGTGATCTTTTAGCGTTTGGCAACACTATTGAAGCTCTAAAGGAGCAAGCCGGTAGCTGCAGGGTAATGCTTTTATTATGCTTCATTTACAGTTGGCGTTAAATATTTTGTTACAGCAACAAGAACCTCCTGTTGTGGACGTCACCGGTAAAGAGGCAGTTGTTGCTTTGTACGATTACACCGAGAAATCACCTCGTGAAGTTTCCATGAAAAAAGGTCATTTACTTACTCTCCTAAATTCAAATAATAAGGTAAAAATCTTTTACGATAATTGTCAACTTTTGCTATCTTCATTTGTTTTATCTCTTTGACTTGAGATAACCTTCATAGTAGTACAGATAATTTTTGTAATCTTTCAGTTTTTCACATTGCGCAGATATGATTGTTTGTTTTTGGTTATTGTATTTTCTTGTGGTTAGACTTTCAAAATGTAAAGAGAAAAAGGATATTCTGTGTAAATTTACAATCGATTACGTAATTTTACGTATTTTAATATCACAAATTAAATAATTGCAATTCAGGATTGGTGGAAGGTGGAAGTAAATGATCGCCAAGGATTCGTGCCTGCTGCTTACGTAAAAAAGGTAGAAGCTGGTTTAACCGCATCTCAACAGAATTTGGTCGATAATAACTCCATTCCCGCTCGTCAAGCGCAAATCAACGCTCAGTATGATCATCTGCTGGAATTGGCACGTGAACGTCAAAAGAAGCTTAATGAGACTGTTAAGGCTTATGTTTTGGTTCGAGAAGCGGCAGATCTTCATAACTGGATTAAAGATAAGGTAACTGTTGAAATGTCGAGACTTTGACTGAACCCTTTGGTTGTTTAGGAGATGCACGCTCAAGTGCAGGATGTCGGAGAAGACTTGGAGCAAGTGGAAGTGTTGCAAAAGAAATTTGACGATTTCCAAAACGATTTGAAGGCTAATGAAGTTCGTCTAGCTGAAATGAATGAAATTGCTATGCAATTGGTTTCTCTGGGTCAAACCGAAGCAGCCCTTAAAATTCAAACACAGATGGAGGTTTGTTTCCATTATACATTTTATCTGTTTCTGTTTCCCATATACAAGTCAGTGTAACAATTAAGGTTTCTTCAGGACCTAAATGATAAATGGGCATCCCTGCAACAAGTTACAACAGAGCGTGCAACGCAACTGGGTTCTGCTCATGAAGTGCAACGTTTTACCAGAGATGTTGATGAAACAAAGGATTGGATTCAAGAAAAAGACGAGGCCCTTAACAATGACGATTTGGGAAAAGATCTTAGAAGCGTACAGGCACTGCAACGTAAACATGAAGGATTGGAGCGAGATTTGGCTGCATTGGGTGATAAGGTAACAACCTCTTTCCTCTCTCTCTTTCTCCCAGTAATTTATTTGCCTACTGCAGATCAAACAATTAGATGAAACCGCTAATCGTCTTGTAACCAGTCATCCTGAATCTGCCGAACAAACCTACACAAAGCAACGGGAAATTAACGAACTCTGGACTCAATTAACTGCCAAAGCGAATAGTCGAAAGGAGAAGCTTCTCGACTCCTATGACCTTCAACGATTTTTGAGCGATCATCGTGATTTACTTGCGTGGATTAATTCAATGCTTGGTTTAGTAAGTTCAGATGAACTAGCGAATGATGTGACCGGAGCAGAGGCATTGATCGAACGACATCAGGTTAGTAGTTTGACTTTTTTGTGTGTGTGTGTGTGAGCTAATTTTCTTGTACCGATTTGTGATTGCATGATGTTGAACAAAGTTTTCTCTTAAGAATAGCAAAAATTGTTGAAATCCAGATGGTTGGACCTTAGCAGTATTGTCCATATACCGGGTGATTCATTAGAAGTGAGCACAATTTGAATTTCCCGCAAATAAAAAAAATTCTGAAGTTGGTACTAACTGATGATCTTTTATTTAATTGCAGTAATATAAATAATCGTTTACTTATTTATAATCTACAAATACTGCTTCTGTTTTACAACAAATTATAAACTAACACTAGACACAGTCACGTTTCTTACATATTTTAGTGCATCAACTCTAAAAATGGTTCAAAATGGAAAAAGTAATAAACCGCAAATGGCACACAACAATTAACAGCGACACTGGTTTCTTAAGTGACAGTCATGACAGAAAAAAATTACTAACGAAATTCAAACCGTCAATTTAATAATGCAAAAAACACTAAAACCTTACGCGCGAAATTCAAGCGATCATCACTTCTAATGAATCACCTGGTATTATATCGATAGTGTCATGATAAAATCAAACTTTTTGTTCGAAATATTGCCAGAATGAATGGACAGCTGAAATAATTTACTTTGCCGCTCGTGAGCTGGTTGGACTGTGCACTAGACACACTATACAAGACAAACAGCAATACCTGACCTTGAATTCAAATCAAAGCCTTACTGGTATCCACAATCAGTGGATCATAATTTCAACAAAGCTTTGTATAGGTCAGTAAATGAACGTGGAATACGGCGATACTGTGTAATTTTCCGCGTCTCCACCGAATCGCATGAAAATTTGGATTTAGGTTCCTCTTACCCTCTACTTCAAGAGTTGCTTTTACTTGGGGGGTGAATGCCACCCCTTCTTGGGGGGGGAAAAAGATACGTTCAAAATAAGTCCGGAAATTGATAAATTGAGTAATTCTAAGCAACTTTTGTTCTATAGAGTTTTTTCACTAAGTCAATAGGATTCGAGTGAAAATGTTCATTTTTCAACAAAAAAATTAAGTTTTCAGACAGTTTTTCGCAAATAACTATAAAAGTAAGTATTGTATCGAAAAAAGTATTCTTAGCAAAAATATAGCTTATAAACAGACAAACAAAATGGTCTATGTATGAAGTCTGTAGGCCCAGTAGAAGCAAAGTTGTAGCTCATGAAAAGTAGGTTCCCATTCGTCAAATTCCAAATCGAGTACTTCAACGTGAAATAACCAAAAAATGAGAAAGCGTATGCGGATGCGAGCCATAATGAATCACATTCCAAATGAAAATTTGTAGTTACTCGCCTCACAACTCACAAATCTACACTGTGTCCAAGATAAGGATGTCTATCATGGGGATCTCTGAAACCATAGAAGTTACGACGATGATCAAATTAGAGAAAAGATGCGCAATTAAAAAGTATGTTAATTAAACTCAAAAAATTCCGATTACTTCCGAAGTATGCCAGAAAAAACGAAATTTGCCAATTTCGTTTTAATTTTTTCTGATGTTATTACGCAGATACAGAAAAACTAAAAAAACACTTTCCCATTGCCACTTGAGCTTTACAGTACAAGTAAAACATATAAGGCAACTTTTACCTTGCATCAATTGTATGTCGACGCCAAGAAGTAAGCTCAGTTTTTTTCATCCAAAACCTGTAAATAATCAAAAGAAAACTTCCCAAGATTGATACGTAATTAATTGACTAATGCCTGAAGGGCCTTGCGCTACTCGTAATCTGCTTCTGTAACAGGTGCGGTACTTAATTGACCACCGTCTCCATAAGAAAGTGACGAACTACAATAATATTCGCGTTTCAAACTCGATCATAACTTAATCGAAACGGCAAAGATTTTAAATAGGTACTAATGTTAACAAATTACTTGAATGTGATAGCATTTAACCCAGAAGGGGCAAAATAGTTATTTATTAAATACCTAATACGCTAAAGAATACAGCAATTATCTCTTTGTTGAGGATTGACCCTTGATATCAAATCTTGTTGTTGATCCGTTGAGCCATTTCACAGAAAATGGCCGCTTGTTATTAGCAGGTGGAAGATGTGAAGGGCGTCGGCACTCGCAAACAAATGGTGAGCTTAATACAAGGTTACCCAATTCGTATGTCAAACCAGAAATTAAGATCTAAAAGGTCGAGTCGGAATTTGAACCCAAAAAGAAATCAAAGGTAACCCTCTTCGTTGGTGTCATAAAATGTACAAACCTTTTAAATAAGAGGGCTAATTGTAGACAAAGCAGCAATTGTCGATGGAAAATTGTAGTACACAAATATCCGCCAAACAATAGCACAGAAAAAACTGATGTCTGGTTGGCGTTTTTAGGAGAATTCGTCCTAACAATATTTCTGGAATCCTCAAATTAATGAATCGAATTGCTAGAGATTAATAAACATGAATGATGGCAATTAAAATTACTTGTGTTCTAACTAACGCCCCAGTTGTAAAGAATTAGTGCACTTTGTCACGGCTGACAAAAGAAAGAGGAAGATCAACCAAAAATCACACCGCTGCAAAATGTTGTTGTTAAATTTCAAAAATAGATGGAGCCATCTACTCAAAAGTTACGAGGATTATATCTTGGACACAGTGTATAAGATTTTTTTTAAAAGCTGTACCTTGACTGTTTTGTTTAAATCTTGTTATTACGAAGTCCAAACTTTGAGAGTTTCCAACTGGACGGACAGTTTCCATTTACTATTTCTCACTTTTGTCATGACACCATTGATATCAAGTGTACAAGTGTGGGAAAATAGGCTTTTTTTAAATTGTTATAAAAAGTATCACAAAATGGTCTAAACTACATTCGTGTATGAAGAGGAAACCAAATTGGTTGTTTAATACCAATATCCATTTTTCACTTGCTAGCTACCTCCACTTATCCAAAAAGATTTCTATTACAGCTATATTAAGAAGTCGCTATTGAATGTTGTTTGTTATTAAATATATGTTTGCAATACTTAAAGTAAATGGCCAACAATGGGAAATTTGTTTTTTTATGATGAATGTCTCCATTTTTGAATGTTACGGTGTAGTTTTAATAATTAGTAATAATAGTGGTAACGTTTATATTTTTCAAAATAATATAAACGTTATCACTATTATTACTAATTATTAAAAAAAAATGTTAAATTTGATTGAACTATCTCGGTTGGTATCCATTGTCCTATCGGTAACTCGAAATGGGGTGAAATGTTAACCGAAGTTGAAAAAAAATTTTATTTACAGGACCTTCCCCATAAAATTGTAATTGAGTTTATTTAAACGGCGACATGTTTCGGCTAAAAGCCATCATCAGACTCTAAAAGATGTAGCATAAAGTTCAAGCTCAAATTTGTTATGCTACATCTTTTAGGGCCTGATGATGGCTTTTAGTCGAAACATGTCGCCGTTTAAATAAACTCAATTACAATTTTATGTTCGACTCGATCATAATACGCTGAGTTATGACACTGTTTAGAGTCCATAATTTCCTACTTTATTGGACTAGTCCATAATGATAAAGTAATTTGGACTCCTGTCACTGTCAATTTCTTTGGAAAATGCATTTTAAAATTACGATCCGTTTTAAAGAAGAAGTACACGGAACAGAATGCTATAATTTTAAGAACACATATCTATATTATACATTTCAATAATTATACTAAATTAATGTTAATAACACAGTTGTTATTGTTGGTAATGTTAATTCCCGATGTACCTTTTTGATGCAATATTTCGGTGGTCTCTACGGCTTTTAAGTTTATGAATGAAGAATTTGCCACAACGGTTTCCGTTCCCAAAATTCTGCTGGCAACACTAATTTTAGAATTGTCAGATCTCTGTCAGAATCTCCTTTTCTTTTGAGGTAAGGAATTAGGCTGGGAAATTTGCTTATATCCACTCCCTCATTTAAATTAATTGTCGATCGTAACATCGAGTACTTACTCCATAAAGAAGAACTTTTATAGGGAACCAACTCACTATTAAAGTACGCCAATATACAGTCTTCCGTGGTGCAATTGATTTTCTTCCCTAAGCACCACCTCTACTGTATTCCCTGTATGCCGCCTCGTATACAGTTTTTGATTTGCTTGGTAAAAGCATCTCTCTGGCATTGCAGGCTAATTGTTGTATACTGTTGGACCCATCAATTTCTTCTGGACTCATCTTGGGATTCATAATTAGGTACAGAGAATTAGTTAATACCCAACGAAATTGACACTACACATCAACAGATTTTTTTCCAAACAACACGTATCTATGACAACACAAAAGGCACACTATGTTATTTCTGGTTATTAAATAGTGAAATCTATACCAAGTTTCAGCAAATTTTCAATACATACATGAACTACATTTTCCGAGTCGAACATAAAGCTAAGTATGTTACTCGTACATAATCAGACTTTATTATCTCGTCTGTTTTATTGGCCTCGCGCGCAAGCGCGCTCTGCCAATAAATTCGACTCGTCCAATAAAGTCATAGATTATGTACTTGTAACATAAATAGCTATTATGGGGAAGGTCTTGTAAATAAATTTTTTTTTCAACTTCGGTTTGATTGAACTACGCTCCCAGCAGTGCTTCCACAAAACAGTCCTCGAACGCATATTTTGGAATGACCTTCAAGTCGTGCGTTGTATTACTCCGAATTGTCTCGAAGTCGTCAAACTGCTTTCCTTTGAGCACCATATGTTTTCCTGTGTTATCAGCTAAGGTCGGGCAGAATGAGGTTCCCTGTCAACAGATGTGCAGCTATCTTTAAACCACCTGTACCACTCCTTTATCTGTGTTATGTCCATACTTTCGTCCCCAAAGGCTTTCTGTATGATTTCAATCATCTCTGTTTGCAGAAAAAAACACAGACACAAACACACGCTGCGCGCTACCCAAGGTGCCCACCCAGTAATTACAGCATTGAGGAAGTTTGTGAAGGACTACTTGGTTACGCTTATCCGCTT